AGCGCAGATAACCCTCGTGTAGCTTTGCGCGAAATTCAAAACAAACAAACAAACCATGCGGAGATACATGCAAACTTGCGGTTTCTCATTTTGTGTTTTGCAGTTTTTTATGAGCATTTTTTACAAATACATATAAGGGAAGCAACTTTTCATGTCGAAAAATAACCTTTCATTAATCATGAATTTACATAAATTCCGTCCAGGAGTCGGGCACTCCAGCTAGTAAATTAATATTTTATCAAACAATCCAAAATAACCCGCCCTACAATAGAAACCGTTACAATAGTAGTTTTTAGTACAAGACAAGCACTTACTATAATAATGTTGAAATTAATAAGTAACATTATGATCAAGTCTTTTACAAATAACATTGAATTGCCAACAATTATTTTTTGAATTGGTTGGTTGGTGTGTTGTTAAGCACAAAGCTACACAATGGGGTTAATTGTGATCTCTTCAGGAAGAGTATCGAAACTCGTCTTTCAGCACTTTAAGCACATAGACTTACCGCTGAGGGGCTAATTTTTACTTTTATTTAATTTTTTGAAAAATCCTTTCTTGATGACATTTAACGAAAATTAAATCGCATTTTTAAAATCAGTGACTATTTATTTTCAATAAAAATAAATAAGGTATTAATTCTATACAATCAACTTATTTTAACGAGCGTTGGTCGTGTTCATAGAGTGCAGTGTACATGCTGGAATGGCATGGCGTGTAGTGAGAATGATGATATATCACAGTTTGCCATAAAACGCGAACACCATCGTCTTGTACAAATTATAAGAAATGTTCACGAACATCTGAGATATGCTTATAAACAAGGTAAGGGATATAATAATATATATATATGAACGGTTGTTATTGGGAAATGAGAAAGGGAGCAAATCGTTAGAATCACATTCGTGAACGGTGAAGTGACACCCACTGAGTATACTGTAGACTAGTGTATTATAAGAATTTAAATTACTATTAATATTACTAGCGTGTACAGTATAGTAATTTGTATTAACGTATAAGAAGTTCTGCGGTAAAATGTTACATGATGCTTTTAACTTCGTTTTAATGCTATTTTTTAAGAGTTGAGTGTTCCAATTTTCATCTTACGGTAGTAGTACTACCTAACGAAACACTTAGCCTAATGGTAATACTAATAGTAATAATGTAAGCGTTTCTTAACATCGTTCCTTCAGTTAGCGGAGCGAAGTTCCGCGTTTTACATAGTTCACAACTCTGAATAAGAACATGAACGGGGTGTTTGTTGACTGTTAGTATTAGTGTTATACGAAAATTGAAATTACATGAACCGTCTGCACACCTACATACCAAGTAACCAACCGGTTGCGAAACTGAAAGTCGAAGCACGAAAATGATGAGATTTCAAAGTTCAAACGAGATTTTTGTACTTGTATCATTGAACTGATTGATATTGTTAAAGAGTTGTTTTTGCAGAGAAGGAAAATCTGTCATTTATCTTTCATCTAACTCAAAGTCAGTGTAAGCTTAATTATGTAGGCTAACAGCACAAAACATAGCATGCAGATAACAAAAGATAATTTGATCCTTCAAAGTTGTCCCTTCACACTCACCCTTGAATGAAAAGTAAAAATTTAAACTTATCCATTATTATTCTGGTAATCATTGATTTCCCTTTTAAACTCTTTTACAGTGCTGGCCTTGAAGTTGGATACTACTGGCAACTTATTCCATAACTAAAAGTCAACCACCTTGTTAGAGTTACTGGCTAATAGTGTTCGAAAAATAAAACTGTTTTAAACTGTTACAAATCCTTTATTTTTTCCAGAGCATCCTAATACACACAAAGAAAAAAAAACATATTTTGTTCATTTCTATAGTGAATTACATGAAATTATGAATAAAAATACTATTATTATCAGAGCTGATTTTATGGATTCAATTTACCTTCTTTTAGTTTTTACCATCTCTCAACTAGCTTGATGTATTGTTATAATAAAGTATACTTGTTTATGGTGAGAGTAAACCTAGTCTTTTGTTGTCTGTATGCTATGTTTTGTGCTATGTTAGCCTACCTTTAGTGGAAACCCTTTAATATATTCACCATAGATATGTAGATTTTTAAATGTAAAATATATACATGATGTCCTTGTGTACCATTAAGAAATTTGTAGGTGTACCAAAGTCAGTTCTACAATCACAATGGACTACATGGAAGCAGAGGTACAAAGAACCTTAAATAACAAATAATTTAAGGACACAAGGGATCTGTTGATCCAGCTAGGCCATCCCATCCATAAACTAAATATTAAAATAAAAATAAAACACTCAAAGCTAGCCTTTATCATTCAAATATTTATAAAGCCTTTCATTAAACTTAAATTTACTGTACCTACCACATCTGAAGACAAACCATTTGAAAGTCCAACCACCCTGTTAGAAAAATAAAACTGTCTTAGCTGAAAGTGACTTCTATACTGTCAAAATTTATATTTGTATCCCATACTCCATTTAATTGGAAAAAAGATGAATTGTCTACTTTATCAGTCCTCCTAACAATGTTAAACACCTCAGTCAGATTTCCTCTAACTCTTCTTTTTTTCAAGATAATACAGTTTTAGAGATCTCAACCTGTCTTTGTGTGATAACCTTTCCCTACCAGTTTTCATCCTAGTAGTTCTTCTCCAAACTCTTTACCAAGAAAGGAGCCCATGACTGAACACAATACAACAAATGTGGGCAAACATGTGAAATATAAAATTAAATTATAACATCTTTAAAGTTATATTCAATACTTCTGTAGATACAACTTAAAATCCTATTTGACCTGCCACTACAAACAGCACACTGCTTGGATAGTTTAAGAGACTGATCAACTTATAATGGACTAAAACAAAGTGCTGCGATGACCAGGGTCAAACAAAAAAGAATTTATTAAACTTTAACTACCACAGAAAAAAAACAAAAAAACTTTCAAACAATTGGAGTACAAAGCTTATCACTTAAAAAAAAAGAAACAGTTAGTAAATACATGCCTGGCCTGGACTTGATACTGTTGTTAATGAATAATCAACATAAATATCAATGTTATTAATTATTTCAATAAATAAAGGAATTAGGAAAAAGAAGAAGAAAAACTAAACCCCAAAAAACATTCCAAAATTTGACCAGTTCAAGATCAATAACGATATTGAATAACAATCAGAAATATTATGTTTCAACTACATTTCATGAACTAACTCATTTAAGCTCAAGGCAAGGTTTTTATTTATTGGTTAGACCATGAAGTTACAACTCCTGTGACTAGGTAATTTTGATACAGTAATTCCCACTTTTCACAAGATTAGCTATTCCCATTCTGTGTTGCCCTTTGTACATGCCACAAGCCTTCTGCTCTCCCCGATTGGAATCTAGTGATTCTATCATGTCTCTCATGCAAATCATCATACGTCACTTCTCCACCCATGGAGTGTGACGCAGTCATGTGATGCATGCGACTCCCTCTATACTCTTCCACCAAATTATCCATTCTCATTTGGCAGTGCTTGTACTCGGTTATTTTATTTGTCATTCTTTACTGTTTCATGTTCATATTTAGTATACTCACAAAGTGGTCTTTAGCTTTAGATTATAGCTTTAGATTCTCTGGAATTTGAAATTTGCCTTCATTTATCCCAGTTTATTCCAGTCGCATTCCGAAGCTAATGTTACCACTTTGGAGGTTACGCCTATGACTAGCATTATCTCACAGGCCACAGGTGTGGGCAACCTGGTGTGGGTTTTTATTGGTGTTTATCCTCAAGGAGGTTTAACATTAGAAAGGTTGGCCTTTTTCTTCAGTTATCACCCACAGTTCCTCCTGTAGAAGATGACCCTGTCTGTAGAGACAGAGATCTTGATAGCCTTTTTCTACCACCAGATTTCAAGTGTTTGGTTCTTCATTTACACTATGTAGTCTCTGTTCCCAATATGGAGATTCTATGTTCTTTTTGCACATTTATAATGGCTTTCATTCACATTACTCCACAGACTGCCTTATTTCGTCAGGAGTTTGATTGTCTAATGTCCAGATTTTTCTTTGACTTTGCTCAGTCGTGGTTTCTGCAACTTCTCCAGCTCCAACTTTTACCTCCACTGCCTCTTCCTTTGTCTCTTGCCTTCTTCATCCACTGGTACTCCATCCGGACATTCACAGCATTTGTCTTCAAGCTTGGCTCTTATTTAGTCCTTGGCAGGGAGATTGGGTTTACACTTGCAGGTAGCTTTCTTTTAGCTTGTTCCATTCACTCTTCTTCAGTGAGCATTTATTGGTGTAAATAGGAAATGTTCTACAGTTCATCTACGAGTCGGGGATTTCCACAGATTGCACCCCTGTGTCTCAATTGTAATAATTTCCTCCCCGGATTATTGGACCATGAGTCTTTGGCCCCCTCGATCCTGGATTATTGGATAGCCTTGTCCCATACCATCATTTTTTTCTAACACCACAGAGTTTTTACCTCACCTATCCTTACTATGTTCATAAGCTCCTTCCGGATTAGTTGTCCTCCCTGACTGCCTACCATTCCAACCTTATGTTCCATGTTTCACCTTTTCTCAAACATAATTCCTTCTCCTCTGTGCTTGTGTATGTCTGAGGTCGGATTTGTTTCCCGTAATGTTTCTTGTACAATTTTCCCCACTCCCTCTCTTCTCCTTTATCTGGATCTTTCTTACCCAAGACATCGGCAGCTAGGGGAGGTAACTCCTCCTTTTGCCTAATTCGCTTCCTTTCATTTCCCATCTTTATCCTTGTCCCGATCCGGATCGACTCCTATGTATGGTCTGTGCTCTTCATTTTTCCATTTCCTGTATGGCTGCTTTCTACGGTGCCCGAGGCAGTTTTCTTCGAGTCGAGATCTTTCTCCTTCTGCCCTCACCAGTTGTGTTCAGCTTTTGATCCCATTAGCTTACTCCCCTTTGTCGTCTTCTTCTCGGACTTTGTTCCAGGTGTCTTCTCATCAAATTAGATATCTTTACCTTTTCCCTGGCATCTTGTCTGTGTTAGCTATTGGGGAACTCCTACATATGGGCATGAGGACAACACCTAATGCATTTGCTTCCCCTCATATACACTGTATTGTGGTTTCTACCTTATCAGGTTTCTTCTTTCACCTGTGACTGTTTTTCATACATCAGTGTGACTCTAACTGGGTAAGTTTCTATTCATTATTTCTCTCCTTTCAGGAGCCTTTGCTTCATTAGTCACTATTTGGATCCTGCTTTGTGGTGAGTGGTGCCAAAAATCTGCAGTATACAGCCATATTGAATTGCGGTCTCTTCCATGGCTTCTCAAAGCTCACCAGTGAAATGTGGTGTTCCACAAGATCACTTGAAGGTGAATAACTTTGTGATGTTTTTGCTTGATAAACTTGCCCATTCCAGAATGTACCACCCATGGACTGCATGGGTAAAGCAGAAAGGGATAGCTGCCTATCCTTGCCATGGCATAATTGAATAGATCGGTATGATCTGCATTTTAAAATAGGATTTTACGTATTCAAAAAACGTTTGCAAATAGAGGGCAGTACAGAACAGGAATATCTAATCTTGTGAGTGGAAGGACTTTTTTTATTCTAGACAAATGCCAGGAATATTTCATAATATTCTTTTAAAATAAGATCTATGCAAGATAATAATTAAAATACACCAGTACTTACTCTTTTAGCAGATTTTTAAAATGCTTGTAAGAATCATGTTTACTTTCCACAATTATTTTAGGACATGATGCTGATGATGTATGGAAAGCACATTGCAGCAATCTGTCAGAACGTCAAGAATATGCTCAGGCAATGCAGAAACTTGCAACTACAATGTGGGCCAGAAATAATACTCGAATTGAATGGTGTCTGGAGGCATGCAGGTTTGTGGGTAGTAATATAAAATCAACGTCACAGTAATACATTTTCTACACTTCTATCTACCTAAGAAATATACTATTTAATAGTACTATCTACAGTCTATTGTTCTGCCATATTTTACATTCCAAGATACATGCACATTTTTCAGGTATCAAAATTATTATTATTGGTTGTATTTTTATTTTCAGTTGCCAATTTTATTTAGAAATGTGAAAATGATTCAGAAAATTGTTTCCAATTATTCATATTCATAGTAAAGGTAAATATATAAACAACAATGAATTATTTGGAGCTATTTAAATCAGTAAAAATAAGTAAAATAGGACTTTATGAAGAAAATAATTCAAAACAAAAAGGAATACACACATGGTTTCTCTGTTGTTGGGAGCTCCTGGGGAGGTACACAGCCTTATCCCAAGTTGATTTACCACCTACTTATCTCCAGGACTTACATATAGGCCCCATTTTCTACAGTGGTATGTTTTTAGTAATGTTCCTGAGACTTTGGAATTCTGTGTGGAGTCGATGCGACAACAAACTACCATTTATTCTTTGGTGGATTGTTTGTCTCATTCTGAGCCCAGACATGCCCCTATTACTGTTTCCTCTCCATCTTCTTCCCAGTCCTTACCTGTTCCTACCTCCAGGGGTTCCTCATCTCATCCTTTTATTTGATGCAGATGGACAAGTTACCAACAATACTGGTGACTACCTGGTGATTTCCAGTCCAGTGGGGGGCTTGATTGACTAATTTTGTTCCCCTTTGGTGACTTTTCATCACAGATCTGTGGGTTATTTGGGAATTATCTGAGGGACTTGTCATCCAGTTTCTTTCCCCTCCTCTGTTGTTTCAGATATCCATTTCCTTTCAATTGCCTTGGGATCCTACCACCAGTCAACCTCTGTCCAAGGTGGTACAAGATCTTTTCTCCCAGCAGGCCATCAAACATGTCAACCATCCTTTTCCAGGTTTTTTATTCCAGGCTGTTTATGGTACCCAATAAAACTTGGGACTGGTGGCCTGTGATTGGTTTGTCCCACCTCAATCAATTTTTGGTTCTACCCCAATTTACCATCAGGTGGTGTTTTTTTCTGGGTTTGTGGATGACCAAGGTAGATGTCCCAATTGCTTACCTGCATATCCCAATATCTCATCAATCGAGATATGTTTGTTCATCATGTAGTAGTTTATTTCACGCCCTGATCTTCGGCCTTGCTTTGGCCCTGTACGTTTTTTGTGAGGTTGTCAAGTCTTTTGCCCAACATTTGCATGCTTGGTGGTTGTTCTTCCATCATTACATGGACAACAGGCTTTTATTAGCTCCTTCCAAACAGGAGTCCGTCAATCACACTCATCTGCTTCTCCTGGAGGCAGCTCGTGTGGGTTGGTTAATCAAATTGAAGAAGTCATTCCTTATATCTACCCAATATCCTGTCCGTTTGGGTGTCTTTTTCAACACTCATGTCAGTTGGGCCCAACCTTATCCTGTTCAACTTTGTTTGATGGAGCTTTCAGTTCTCCATTCCCTTACTGTTCCCTCTCTTACAGTTCAAAAGGTTCTATCACTTTTGGAGATGTGGTCTTTCATGGAAGCCCTTATCCCCTTGGGTCAAACACATATGAGGTCTTTTAAGAGGACTTTGCATGAACAATGGAATATTGTGTGGGATCCATTGGATGCTCCTCTTTCTCCTTCCCTTGTAGGCGATCTGCATTGGTGGTTGGACAAGGCTCACACATATATCGGCAGATGTTCTGCTTCATCCCCCTCTTCCGGATTTACATATCTTCACAGATGCTTCCCTTCAGGCCTGGGGGTATGGGTCAATGTGCAGGAAGCTTCATGTTGGTGGTCTCCTGTTGAAAGATCTTACCATATCAACATCCTGGAGCTTCTGACTGTACCTCATGCCTTGGATCATTTTCTTCATCTTGCCAGGAATTTTCTGTTCATGATCTATTCTGACATTCTACAGTGATGGCTTATCTCAATCACCAAGGTGGCATCTGTTCTCATTCCCTTTGTGATCAGTCCTTGGATCTCCTTTTTCAGTCCCACACACTTGGTATTTGTATCATTACGTGTCATGTTCCAAGTGCATTCAATCTTGTTGTGGTTGTTCTTCCTGTCGTGACAAAGTTTATCTGATGGAGTGATCTCTTGATCCTCTTGTTTTCCAGTGGGGTACTTCTCAACTGTATGCATTTGTCACATCCCTCAATATCAGAGTACCTCTGTTTTGGTCTCTGGTTCCTCAGCCTCTTTCTCTGGCTGTCAATGCATTCAGTCAAGATTAGACCAACAAATACCTTTATGTTTATCTTCCATCTGTCTTCTTCACAGGGTGATCTCGATCATTCATGCCACTCCATGTCAAGTCCTTCTGATTGCTCCATCCTGGCTGGCACAATCATGGTTCCCATGGCTACTCCAACTCCAATCTGCCCCTCCATTACCTCTTCCTCTTACTCCATCTCTTTTATGCCAACCTCAGTCACCAGCGTTTCATCTAGTCCTTCATATTCTCCATTTTCACATCTGTTTTTTATCCAGTCCTTGGCAAGGAGATCCAGTTTGTTCCGGTGGGTTGCTTCTTTTTTTTAGCTTGTTCCATTTGTCCTTCCTCTAGGGATGTTTATCAACCTGAGTGGAACATTTTCTGCCATTGATCTTTGAGTCAGGGGTTTTTCACCCGTTCAACCCACTGTTCCTCATATTACAGATTTCCTTACTTGGCTCTTTGATCAGGGTTCTTCTGTCCCCTCGATCGTGGGTTATTGGGCAGCATTATCCCACAGTTTCATTTTTACAGGTACCATAAAGTTTTTACCTCTCCTACCCTTTCCTTCTCGTTGCATTTTTTTCTGGGTTAGTCATCCACCTTGGCATGCAGTCCTTCCAGAGTGGGATGTTAATGTGGTTCTTCATTGCTTCCATTTGAACCCCTATCCTTGTGCTCAATTTTTCACTTATCCCTTAAGACTTATTTCCTTCTCCTATTAGCCTGTGGACATCATCGGTCGAATTTATTTGCCATTGATGTTTCACATACTTTATATCATTCCACATACATTCTCCTTTACCTGGATCAATCTTTCCTTCCCAAAACTTCTTTGGCTCGGGATAGTAATTCCTCCTTCTTGCCAATTTCCCTTCCTTCCATTTCTCATCTATATCTTCAGTCAGGTTCATATAGGCTACTATGTCCTGTCTGTGCTCTTCATTGTAATTTTGCCTACATGGCTTTCTTCCGTGGTGCCCGTTCCCACCTATTCATTTCTTGGCAGACATCCTTTGCTCGTTATCTTTCTCCTTCCACCCAGAAAATTGGATTCACTTTTTAATTCAATTGGCTTATTCTTCCTTATTGTTTTCTTCCCGTAATTTGTTCCAAGTGTCTCCTCGGATCAGTCATCTTACATTTTCTCTGGCATCTCATCTCCATTGTCCCTTGGAGAAAGTTCTTCAATTGGACATGTGGACTACACCACATACATTCATATCTCACTATCTGCATCAGATCACTGTGTCTTCGTCTTCGAGTTATCTTCTGCCTGTAGTCATTCTGCCCACCCCCTTTTTTTTTCACTGTCTGCAAACCACTCTGTGGCAAGTGGTGCCTGACCAGGTATGCTTCTTGTACTCAAATCCACACTGTCAGGCCATGTTGACTGCCCTAATTTTTCATAGCCATAACATGCTCACTGTTGAAATGGAGTGTTCCACAAGATCACTTGTAGGTTTGTTCTTGCAATATATTTGCTTTGTTATTATTTATGTCTGTTCCAGACTGTATACACTCATGTACTTCAAGAGTAAAGCAGAAAGGGATAGCTGCCCATCCCTGTCATTCCTTCAATTGAATAAATCAAGTATGGTCTGCTTTTCAAAATATGGTTTCTGTGGTCACCCATTGCACTGTCTCCAGTGTTGTTGTGCCCGTGGTCTCTCCATTATATTTTCTCCCCCTTTTTTTCTCCCAGTGGTGTATGGGAGTTCTTACTACTTTCCAGTTCCAAACTGCTGGGGTGGTGGATCTTGGAGGCATCCTCCTAAATGTGATAGTGTTAGATGATACATATAATGTTACAATCATTCAGTTGAAAGTAGGGAGGTGGTGTTCTGCTGGTGTAGATGACAAGATGTCCTCCAATCTGATGCTCCATATCTGGACAGGTTTTTCCAAGAGGATGTTGTAGCTTTGAAGTGAGGTGTTAAAATTGCAGTTCACCCCTTTGATTGGGATCTCTCATCCTATCCTCACATGGATGTGTGTTCCCAGTGGCTAGGTTTTGGATTCAGAATTGAACGAATCAACAGAAGTCCTCACACATGTATTGTAGGTGCTTATTTTTCCTCACTCAATCATACTCTTGTTCCTCCATCCATGTTATGGGCCATGGTGGTGATACTTGATGATTAATACAGTTCTACCTCTTACACTATCACTCAATGATTTTATTATACTTAGGACATTATTGAGCTAGGGGCAGTTCCTTTTGATTTGGTTCTGATTGAGATAGTTTACATTACAAAGACATCTTTACTATACCGATCCTCCAGATGTCGATCAAACAATTTTGCACATTGCTGCCATGTGTCCTGTTCATAGATCGGGGGTATGAGATTCCCTCCGGTCTGCTGAACTTGAAGTGAAGATGGTATGATCCTCTTTTCTAACCCCATTAGTTGGCTGCGTTTTGGATTGTAGTTGACTTGCCACCAGTATGATCCCCATTTTACCCCCGCATGGATGTCAATTCCCAGTGGCCTGGATTTTGGATGCAGTGGACTTGCCAGGTATGGTCCATCTTGCCCTAGTCACTCTACACCTAGGGGGCACACCCTTTTACTTTCACTCACCTTCCAGTACTCTATGGGATTGAGATTTGTTATGTAGTGGTTCGGGTTCCCTATCCCACCATTGTTCTCTCCTGTAGAGATGTTCTTTTTTTTCTGCCCACCTCATTCCATACTGGGTGAAGAGTATACTTGGTACAGATGTGGTGTGGTCTCCCATGTATGATCCTCTACTCTGAGGATCTATTCTTTTAGGGTGTTCTTTGGATGCTTTCAAGGAATGCTGCTTTGTTTTTCCCTTGCACCAGTCCCTCCACTTATTCAATGTGGATTCTAGCTATTTATGTGGTGGAGGTAATGTACTGTATCAGAAGTTATAGTTTTCCTATACTGAAAATATATTTCCGATAGGTACTTGCCTCCACTTCCCACCCTTCCTCCCCACTGAAAACCAGTGCTTCCATTTTTAGCCAGAACTCAAGGTGATAGTTCAGTGGAATCAAATAAAGAGAGTCACATGCATTAGGAGAGTGTGATAAGATGGAGGGGTGTTGCATGATGAGTTACATGCAAGATGCTTTTGAACTAGTTGATTGTAAGGTATGTGGGATCAAACTCCTTCAGCACGGGCTTGGTCCCTGGGACCAACCTCGTAACCATTTTGTGCTTGTCATAGTTTTCGTGCTATAACTTTAATATTATTAAGCAAATGTTAATGAAATTTGGCAGTTTATCAGTAAACATTACAGTGCTTTCATACGCAAAATATTAAATTTTTGGATTAAGTCTTAAGGTTTGTAAAGCATTGTTTTTCTAATGTCT